TTATTGATGCGGATCCGGCTACCATCAAATTACAGGAAGGTTTAGGTTCTGGTTCTGGTTCACATGAAAAGCCGCATGATTTCAGCTTTTTCTCGATCTTCGGGCAATCTTTTAACTTCTTCTTCTGGAGAACGATGTCAGCCCCAACACAGCCCTCAATAGAACCCTTGAATCCTTGTGAAAGACAAGTTTGATACTTGTTCTCGAAGCTTTTCTTGCACTTTTTAGCGTCGATAACTGCTAAAGCCAACAGGCAAGTCAAAAGAGATAGCACAGCAATTTTCCTCATGCTAGAAACCTCTTAGAGAGTCAGAGAGTTAGAGAACATTATAGAAAATGAAATTTTAATTGTTGATGTCGCTTTAATCCTGCCAACATGAAAATATGTCAGTTACTCCATTGCCCAATCGTTGTAAAGATGTGAACTCAGTAATTACCCTGGAACTATAGTTTCTTTGTCCCCTCTTGAGCTTAGAATTTGTTAACGGTAAATAATTTTTTTACTAACGGTAACATTACTGGAGTTACCGTTAGTATCGACGTACTCTTAAATAACCACTGGCCACTCCTGCCAACATGAAAAGATGCCAGGTACTCCTTGCCCAATTCTTGTAAAGATGTGAACTCAGTAATTACACTGGAACTATAGTTTCTTTGTCCCCTCTTGAGCATAGAATTTTTAAACGTTATATAACTTTTTGTACTAACGGTAACATTACTGGAGTTACCGTTAGTATTGACGTACTCTTAAATAACCGCTCCAGTCAATGCGGCTGTTCCTTTGTTCCTGTCCCCTCTGATCTGGGATCTCTTTAATTTTTTTATGGGGTCGTTCACATATTACGTAATTTTTTACCCTCTAGAATAATAACAATTTGACAATATTTTAATTCAAATTCCACTCAATTTCACTCTGATTGTGATAAAATTTAGAAATTGATCGAATATCCGGCTTTAATAGTAAGTAGTTTAGAAGGTGCTTGGCCAGATATCATAACAATGATTTCGGCTCATCGTGATAGCATGATCATTGATCAGGGTAGCATGAAACGCAGAGAAAGGTGTTTTCTAGGGAAAAAAGTCAAGGGGGGTGAAAATTGCTAAAATATTGATTACGTAATATGTGAACGACCCCTTGTAGCAGTGTATCATAGCAACTAAACTTTACCTAAAAGAAATTTGATAAAGCAGCCGTAACCAGTTCTCCCCTTTTGAGAATTTACAACAAATTGAATTGGGCAAGAAGTACATAACATTTTTTTTCATGTTGGCAGGATTAAAGCGATAATAAAAAATATTGAGATATTCTCAATAACAGTTCATTGTGGTTTAACCGGGCCTAAGATGAGAAATGCGTATCGTACGTACTTATAAAACCGCCTGTACGATACGTACTTTTCAATGTTTTCTACAAGTACTTCATAATTTCTACAATCGTCATAATAATAGGATCGTACGTGCTGCAAGCGCAAGAACCAAAATTATTCTAGAACTAATCGAACACGCGCATTGGATCAAGATTATTCTGAAAACGTAGATTATGCACCACACCAACCCGGTGACCGACATTCATCGCCCCCGGTAGCACATCACATGGCCAAATCTGTGACGTGTAATTTGTGATGTGATCCATATTATAGCCATCCTAACAGCCGGACAACCAGAAACCTGGGTAGCGTTCACATGACAGTTTAATAAGTAGCTGTGTATTACTATTATGAAATATATTAAGAAGTGTTTGAGCTCAGCGGCATGTGTCATAAACGGTCGTGAGCCAGGTTACGTGGTGGCAGTGCAATGTTTTATATTCTAGCCTCAAACTTTAGCTCTCCTTCAAAAAGTTGTAACAAAATTTTCAAAGTTTGGCACCGGTAGTCTTTCAATAGTTTCACGTCTTTGTGTTTTCAGTCTCCGACTTTCACTCATCGCATCTGACTAAATATGCACGGAGTACTATAGGCTACTGGCGAGGAGTTTGTTGACATACCACCAACAATTGTGCACCAAAAAAGTATAATCCATTAATTTTGTCCCCGTTGTAAAAACTTCAAATTTTAGAGCTGGAAGATAAACAATTGGTAGCTCCCAAATTCAGCCTCTCGGTGCAAGACCGCAATAATGAAACTTTTCGTTAATAAAACAATGTATTTAGATTTGAATTCTAAAGGATTGAGAAATCAGGGCAAATGAGGAGCGAGGACATTAGTATAGTTTATTCATCTGTTACGCACCGACTCAAAACGGCTGAATCCCCGCCTATAATCATGGATCGGAAAATATTCCGTAGAAACGTCTTCCGCCCCGAGGTTTGGAGACCTTGGAACAGCGCAAGGGACCCCTAAGGAACAAATTTGGCTTGGTAACTTTCTGAATATGGGGCAGTTTTTTTGCGCAATTGACCACGCGTCCTTTTTTGGCGCTTCCGCGATAGCTAGACCCACATATCTCCACTTCTGATTGGAGAAGAGATCCACTTGGTAGCGAAAATGATCAGAATCACCACATTTAGGGGGTAGAACCCCTGGTTTCAAAGTCCTCACGCTTAAGGTCGATGAGTTATGTGAGCCACGCCCTTATACGCTCTCCGTTAGTAACATTTATCCACTTCTTTCATGATATCTCAGTCTTTTCTGATGGAGCTAAAGGGTCATCTTGGGCATAAAATGGTCAGCAATCATCACATTGAGTTGGGTAGAGCATGTTAAACAGTCTACAGACCTCCCGGTTGTTGAGTTTATTAGGTCAAAACCTATTTTTACACTCTCGCGAGCCGGAATTAATATAGTTTATTACAGTTATCTCGCTTCTGATGGGAGCTAAGGGCTCATTTCGGCATAAAAATGGTCAGCATCATCACATTAAGTGGAGTATAGCATGTTTTAAAGTCTACAGACACTTGTTGTTGAGTTAATTAGTCAAAACTTATTCATTACCCGCTCTCGCGAGCCAAAAGTATGTACTTATTACAAGATATTTCATTTTCTGATGGAAGCTAAGGTTCATCTTGGGCCATACAAATTGTCGACTCATCACATTGAGTGTGGTAATATTATAGTTTTTTAAAGTCTACAGACGTCGGTTTTGAGTTATTAGGTCAAACGTAAATTTTTAGGCTCTCGCGAGCCGAAATTAATGCACTCTTGACAAGATATCTCAGCTTCTGATGGAGCTAAGGGCTCATCCCCCCCTTGGGCATCAAAATGATCAGCATCCATCACATTGAGTGGGGTACAGCATGGTTTAAAGTCTACATACTTCAGGTTGTTGAGTTATTAGGTCATACCCTATTTTTGGCCTTGAATGCAAAAGAAAAATCACTAATCTATTGTTGACGGATGTTACTCGTCTAAATTTCTTCGAAGTAGCGCGCGCCGGGTCAGACCATTAACAATGGTCAAATCTATTGTAGTGTAGTAAATTGAAATAAATTCCTAATCACAACTCAATGTAGGATGATAATATATGAAATGAATAGCATTAAACTTTCCCTTGATAACAATTAAAATAGTCAGATTTTCGTTTTACGGGATATTTAAGTAACAGTTCATTGTGGAAGAGGCTGACTGAAAAGCTTGCAGAGTATAGTGGCCCTAGCTTGTAGCTGTTTCATCAAAAATTGTGTTGACTGTGCGCGGCGTGACTGCGCATTTTTACAATATTTGTGCAAATGGCAAAATCATGCGTTGTTAACGATAAATCGACGTAAGGTCTATTTAGTTCGACTGACGGCGGGGCGCCAAATTTGTGCGCTAGTTGCAGCGCAGCCACTGTGTATCGGTGTATTTTTGGACGCTGATTCCGAATCACCCCCATGACATAGTATAGGGTTGAAATGCTTCCCTGGAGAGTTATGGGCAAAAAACCGTTTTGGTCACGTGACAGGCTAGTAAAATACGAATTCGATTGTTTAGGGCTCGTCATGTTAGGGTTAGGGTTGTGGTAAAGGTTATGGTTAGCTTCGGGGTTATGGTTAGGGTTAGGGTTGCAGGGATAAGGGTTTATGTAAAACCGTTTTGTACGGCTGCAAAACCATAAAAACCAATTGTCACGTGAAATTTTTGGGCGAGCGAATTAGTAAGAGCCGTGGGGGTCACCACGTGATACAAGTACAACCTACCAGGACGCGCGCCGAGTTGGACTCGTCGACGGTCCAATATATGGGACAGATATTTTACGAGTATCACCCGTTAATTACAAGTTGCAAGTGCAGCGTGCGCAACTACCGTGACCCAGGCCCTTTTGGAAATCATACCTAGGCCACGTGACCCAGTTACCACGTTGTAGCGCGATGCACCACTGGGTCGCGCAGCGCATCAAATAATTCTTCTCGCAACCACAGTAGATCGGCGAGATGCACCACTGTGCCTCACCGAGCTGCGAAGGATTGACATCGTGAATCAAGTTACCACGTGACTGGTGACCCAGGCCCTTTCGGGACCCTGACCCAGGCCCTTTCGGGACCGTGACCCAGGCCCTTTTGGAACTCATGCCTAGGCCACGTGACCCAGGCCCTTTCGCACATTTGCCGCATAATTGGTAAAAATTTACCGCACATTTTACCTTTATAGTCGGGTGCGGTACCGCATAATTGATAATTTCGAATAATATATGTGCCTCTGGTGGCTTTCGCTATATAGCGGGAACGCTCACATGCAATAAAGCGTTTAAGCATAGCTGGTTAGGACATCCAAATGAAAAACTTGGCGTCCTTTTCTACAACATTTGCACATACCACATTAGATGATGATTGATCTTGTTTGAATCTATTTATAATTATTAACCAGTTCAAAGTTGCGAATGTAAACTATTGATTTTAAAACTGCATAAGCAATAAGATAAAATTAATTTCAAACATAATTCTCAATATCAAATATTATCAATTCAACATAAAATCATGCTCTTTATACTTTCCATATAGAATTTAAGTCAAGCAAGAAAGGTTCAGTAGATAATAAAATTCACTATGTAAATTTAAAAGTGTTTCTAAACATTTCAAACCATTATTTTAGCCGAAATACTGGTCGAATAAGAAATTATGCAATATATGATTATCTGAATTGCTAATTGACTGGATCTGAAAATGATTGTGTGGGGTTTACAAGTGGACCCTTTTCCCATCCCTCACAATTCCAAGTTCCCAAATCTTTCAAGAACTTCAACTATGTCAGCCTCTTTTCACAGTTGCAGTAAGTGTATATCCGTCATAATACTCGTGTTTATAGGGAAACATTTGAAATTAGAATTTTAAATAATATCCGGACATGTGCTGGTCGCAAAAATAAACGCCAACTTTAAATCTGTTCACGGTAACGGTACAACTACATGTATACAAACATTAAACAATCACATGTCAATTGTCAACTTATCTTCTCCGTCTTGGATCAGTACAGAGGCACACGATTGACAATTAATATTTATATTAAAGTTCAACATTCGACATACATACTGATGAAATAAAGGATATATCTTAAAATTAAAATTAAATAGCCAGTGTCAGAGTGACAAATAATAACTGTATAAAATTAGACAAATAATGGGTGATTTGGATAAGTGAATCTTAGCTAACGGCTACAATAATATAAAGAAACAAGCGGTGGTCATTGCAGGAATGTTTTTCTCGTGCTGTAAGAAATTAATAACATTAAAGCTGAGGATCGTAAAGAATGTGTTAACAAGTTTACACATTTCTTTTGTGTAAAAAGGTATTTAGAAAGAAAAAAGTAGCTGCACCACAGTTAAACTTACTTAAATTAGATGTTTGGATAAATCTTCATATGATTGCTATATGATATAATAAAAGTGATATTTTTCTGAATAGATTTAATTTTTGAGATGATTTAGTTGTTTGTTGCAGGATATTTTCACCTCACCCTTTAGAACCGCTCTGACATGGTTAGTACCTGACATTTGTGTCAGTTGCTAACCATATGGGCGGTATACAAGCACATTATTTCATTTAATTTCATAAGATAATAATTTTAAAATTAATAGGTAAAGATTTAAGATATATCTAATAAAGTTTAAAGTTTAACTGTGAAGCAGAATGCCATAATGAAGTTCAGAATATAAGTTCTAAAAACAGCGTGTAATAAAGTTTTACAATAGAAATAGTACAAACAGGTGTGTAATAATACGGTGGTGGCAAAATCGGTATAAAAAGAGCTAGAGGGGGAAAAGGGCTGATCTATATTTAGATTGGTCACCATGACTTTTATACCGACTTCTTCACTAACCTATAACTCTGCCCTAGGTAAAAACCACGGACTCATAAACTTTATATATCTAAAATACTTAAAATAATTCTTCAGCGAAATAACATGGTTTGAATGTCCGGACCTTGTCAGATCAGCTTGTCAGTGTCCTGAAGTCATGAAGTGCGAGTCTGAATGGAGCTGGAACAAATTTTCGTCAAAAGTCCCTCAAAAAAGAATCAGAAAAGAATCTATATCGGGCACTTTTGCCATTTGAAAAGTTTAATATCTGGGACTGTTACCACTGGAATCAAGGCTGTGTTTAGTTTTGAAGGAGCCACCCTCGTCATCACTGAGTTCTCCGTCTGAGAACACGTCTTCCTCCTCGTGGGTCTCTGAGCTGATAGACTTGGTGTGAGTTAGACTGTCCGTTTTATCTGATTTGTCCAGCTTCAGTGAGTGCATCATGTTTTGCAGGGACAGTTTCCGCTTTATGGTGTGTCGTTGTTGGTCTGCTGCGTTGCTAGCCCGCCTTGCTTCTGCTTCCATGCTGGCTCGTCTCGGGTCTATGCCCATGTCTGAAAAATAACATGTTTGTTAGCTTATAATTTTACAGAGCTCGATGTTTAGTTCTAAAGATATTCAATACTTTGTTATTCTATTTCATCATGCACTTGTAAATGTATTATAATCAAAGAATAGTATCATTATTTATCTAAAATTAAGTAATATGTGTTACTGCAAAATTCGCATGAGAATTGTCACTTTTAAAACAGGAAGTTAGGTAAATGTAATCCTGGATAATTGAATGATTCAACGAATATTGCTGTACACGGGATATATGTAGATTCAATTAAAACGATAGGTTATTATTAGCCTTCATTATGGCGGTTTAAGGAAAATTTACTAAAAATCTAAAAAAATACATCCCAACCTACGATCATACATATAAAAATAACGTCAAATTCATCACCAACCTGATATCCTATCGCACACGTATGTGTTCTCACAACCTGAGTCGTAATGTTTCTCAGTCTTGTGACAGCAGCTCCACTTCTTCTTAATGTACGCTCCACTGTGATAGTGACTCAACATTCTCTCAGGGCACGACTTCTCTGACACTGCAGGGAGGGAGAGAGAGGTTAGATTATATATTAGATCATCACTAGTAAGCGCTAATGAACAGGGTTATAAATTAAGTGAGGTGTTGTTGAAGTCGCTTGATGATTATGGCAGACTTTTGACTTCTGTGTCAGATTCTTTGTGCTTTGCCTTTGTTTAAGTTCACAATATATTTTACAATATTTATCTGGCACAGAGCCAGGTCGGACGTGTAGGAGCCACTTCATTCACCCAAATTCGTCAAGTTGTCACGTCCAAAAGTATTATGGACGGAATGAAGAGCAGCTCATTAATGTATTACATAAAATATGATTTGATGCGATTATCGTAAGGTATGTAATTCACAATCGATGTTTATAATATCAGGTACTGCCAATTATATGCAGGTTGAAAAAGTCTAGGTTTATGGAGAGTTATTATTACAGAGTTATTGTTATTATGAGAGTTATAGTTATTAGTTATAATTATTATGAGAGTTACAGTTATTAGAGTTAAAGCTATTATGAGAGTTGTAGGGAAAATACTTATTTTAGGTTACTTTAGGAGAAATAGAAGAAATATGGAATCACTAAATGATCAGATAATCCAGAATGATCTATAATAGGACGCACGAAACATTTGTTTGACCTTCTTCTGATCCAAAATAGGAAAAAAGGGCACGAGTTAACGCTACTTTTTTTGGCAAGCCATTAAATAAAACAAGCTCTTACCTAGTCGTATGCACTGTATCCACTCTTCTTGTGTCTGTTTAGTATCACTTTGTAGATAAAGAGCTCTTAGCTTCTCCTTGTCTGAGTATACCACCTGCACATATCATTGTCTTAATACTCCTCTCTATACGTGACAATAACTTATAGCCATCTCAACGTTAGTCTTAACAATAACCAGTACTTCCGGAGAAGAGAAATAGTACTGGCTCTAACATACGATGAACATTGAGACAACACCAAGAATGTGTATTGAGGGACAGATAATTGCACTGCTCTTTGGTCTATCACATCACGGCAACAGCTTACTAACCTGGAATAGGCGGGGTCTGTTAAAGGTCTCTTCTTCTACAAGTTCACAACATCTGATGCAGTCCACGCTGATACGACCTTTCTCCTGGCAAACAATGTTACTGTTAGTTAAAAAACTGAACAGATCAAACTGATATGCTGACTAAAAAAAGCTTCGTTCTAAATTATCAATCTTTGATCTACAATCTTGGCTATCACACAAAGAAATCGGCAATCAAAGAAGCGGAGCTGTTAGAACTCACCGAGTGTCCATTAGGAGTGTGATAAGTCAAAGTCTTGTCCGTCAAAACAAACCACCTTTCTTGGAACTTAGCATTGAAAGTGGTCTTGCTCTTACTGATGCTGCGCTTTGTCAGCATTCCATGTCTGACGGGTCTGTCAACTGTGCTAGCCATCCTAAAACATAGTACATTAGCAAGGAAATGAGTCTGTGTACTGCACTAATTGCTGATTAACAAGTTGCAGAACACGTGATACTCTAATTGCAGGCAGCGCGCACAACACGTGCACTTACCACGCTGTTTACTAGAGTTTCTGAAACGACTAGAGCAAAAATGAGAGCACATTAGATCATGAATTATCAATAAATGGGAAAACACAGGGGTCTAATCGAGTAATATAAGTGTTAAATTCCAGAAATATTTCATTATCACCAAAATAAAAACTCGAAACCCAGAAGTCTGATCTAATACAGAAAATTAGGCTACAGACACACCGCCAGCGCTTCAGTATAGCCAACCATAAATGAACTGTAGACCTACTGGCGGAAATTATGACATACTTTGCGCTGTATCAAAGGACTGCAAATGTTATTGTTACTACACACAATTCGACTATTCTGCCCTGTGCAAAGTGGAAACTAAATACAATGCGCCATTTCCGACGCTATATAATATCGGTTGAGATCGAGAATGTACGTAGAGCAGCTAGGTGTCATGTGCGCGCGCTGCACGCGCACAACAAAGCCGTGTCTGACTTATAACTACAAACATTTGAGTCAAAGCGCCTTACTGAACAGTCACAATGTTTGTGGCAAGTTTAAAATGCAGGAAGTGAGCGGATCAATATCCAACCAGAAAGAAGCTTGGAAATATAGAAATAAGTTCTAAATTGATCAAGTTTCTATTATTGGACGTTAAATCAAACCCGGTAGCCTAAATAAAACCAACCAAAAATGTGTACATACTTTAAAACAACTTCGTAAATTTAACAGGGCGGGCCAAAAGTTGTCAGTCCTTCTTAAATCCGGATGCTAAAACTTGGCCTGTATAAAACTCCAATCATATGTTCGAGGATCTGTAAGTCAATAATAAAGAATGTGATATTTTAGCCAAATTCTTTAAATACGCGAATATAAAACATTCAACGCATACCACAAGCTTCAAAATCGCAACAACGGTAGCGAGAGTCCTGAGTTAGTTTAAATTTATGTATCCTGAATAATAAACTAAGATGGCAAAACAGAGCAGTTGTAGTAAGCACTTTTTACATCTTTTGACAACATTAATTAGGTCACCATCTCATCAGCAAGCAATTGATAAGATTCCCATGCGAGTTAAGTTATCACTTGATCGAATCCTAGTAATAAACGTGAGCTTGAAAAGCTCTACATCGGAGTTACTAGAGATCCATTTTCCGGCTGGTATAAGTTCGGAAATTCTAAACAACCGGTAACACGACATCTGTCCGAAAGCGACATCTGTCCGAATCAGAAAATATGTTATTTGGACAATAGTTTATGTCGGATCCTACCGTACGATTTTCTTAAAACTTTCCATAAAGTATGGTGGTTATAGGACGAATAATATGTGTAAGTTTGAAGAATTTTTAAGAAAATCGTATCGTTGGATCTCCAGATATATGCTTTGGAACCACTGAGTACCACCGAATTGGATATATTTTTTGCGGTTAAGGTAATATCTTAAACTTGGCTCATAGAAACTCGCTCAAACTTACACATATTATTCGTCATATAACCACCATACTTTATGGAAAGTTTTAAGAAAATCGTACGGTAGGATCCGACATAAACTATTGTCCAAATAACATATTTTCTGATTCGGACAGATGTCGCTTTCGGACAGATGTCGCCCAATCTAAACAACCTATCTGGGAATAATGATCCTTGAGCAGGGAGTTGCAAAAAAGGACCAAGTTCTATTAATTACAGACCGGAAATCCTCGAACATGTGAAGGAAAATGTGCTGTAAAACGAACTATAACGATTGGACACGAGATAAGCTAACTAGCTACAATAAAAGTTTGACAACTTTTAGCCGACCCCATATTATGCATACTATTCAATCCATCAGCAAACAACACAGGGTAAACATATAATATAAAGCTTCAAAATAAGGAATAAAGATAGGTTGATCATGATGGGTAAACAAATTGTAAACAAAGTTTCCAGAATCAGCCTGTTTTTACTTTAAGCTGCTTTACTCTTGGTCCGCTCCGTCTCATGCTCTTCTTATACTCCCGCTCTTCGTAGCGCCGCTGAGCCTAAACACAATTACTACGTCACAATTGTAGTCCTTAATACAATTACAACTCACAAACTTAATACAAAATGTGATCAATCCTTGCAAAATATAATAACACAATATATGTAGATCGCTGCATATGGCACCCGAAATACTGAAAGAGACGTAGTTTTGACTTTCGAGATGATGAGTCGCAATGAGGTGATAGTTATGAAAAATAATCATAAATTCGATGAAGCTTCAGAAGTTTAACTACCGATTCTTGACATGATGACGATTTAGGGGTTTCGGGAAAAAGGATTCAATATTAAACTTTAAAGTAGAAAACAAAACTCAAAAGTCATGAAAGATTAAGTGATTTTTGAGTTTTGAAAAATGATTGCAGCTCATTGTGTTCATGTGAGTCTAGTCAATAGAGAAACGTGGCCTAAAACACATCCTCCTACCCCGCTCCCTATAAAACACATCCCCCTACCCCCTATAAAACACATCCCCCTACCCCCTATAAAACACATCCCCTACCCCCTATAAAACACATCCCCCTACCCCCTATAAACCACATCCCCCTACCCCCTATAAAACACATCCCCCCTATATTCTATAAAACACATCCCCCCTATAAAACACATCCCCCTACCCCCTATAAACAACATCCCCTGGCCCTACCCCCTATAAAACACATCCCCCTACCGGCTACCCCCTATAAACCACATCCCCTACCCCCTATAAAACACATCCCCTACCCCCTATAAAACACATCCCCCCTATAAAACACATCCCCCTACCCCCTATAAAACACATCCCCCTACCCCCCTATAAACCACATCCCCCTACCCCATATAAAACACATCCCCTACCCCCTATAAACAACATCCCCTACCCCCTATAAAACACATCCCCCCTATAAAACACATCCCCCTACCCCCTATAAACAACATCCCCTACCCCCTATAAAACACATCCCCCTACCGGCTACCCCCTATAAACCACATCCCCCCTATAAAACGCATCCCCCTATAAAACACACCCCTCCTATAAAACACATCCCCCTACCCCCTAAAAACACATCCCCTACCCCCTATAAAACACATCCCCCCTATAAAACACATCCTCCTACCCCCTATAAAACACATCCCCCTACCCCCTATAAAACACATCCCGCTACCCCCTATAAAACACATCCCCCTACCCCCTATAAAACACATCCCGCTACCTCCCCCCCCCCCTATAAAACACATCTGCCCCCCCCCCCCTCATACCATTGACACCAATATAGCAATATTTAAACTCTGCGTACAAAGTACTACGGGTATCCCAAAAGTACTGTTAACTGAAGAAGAGAACCCTAAAAAGTGGTTGAGTGTAAAAACCTTACGTTAAAAGGATAAGTTTACTCAACACCTTGACTTGACATATTAAATAAAAAGGACAATAAAACTGCCACCCTCTTACTGGTTACACCGGGATTTACTACCACAAACCCGGAGAAACAAACAATGACCTGACTTTCAGAAGTAAAGATAAAACTAAAAGAAGGCTGGTGATTTAGTGGAGTTGTGAGTGGTCCATGCGTAGAAGAGCTCAATTAAGATCCACACTTTCTTACTTCTCATTACTGAGAATGCTGAGCAACCCAACTCAATGTTGGCGTGTGTAAGAACCACATTCCACAAGTACATACACATTACAGTCAACCTAATCATCTCATTAACTGATGAAATTGTTAGAGCAAAGGACCCACACGGGATCCAACTTGGGAATCAAGCTTTCAACTAATTGGGCAATTCAGAAAAAAACCTCTACCGATACCAAAAACAAAAATAAGATGTCATCGAAGATAAAGTGATTTGAAGTTTGGACAAATGGTTGCAGTTCATAATTTTCATGTCAGTAATGAGAAAGTCTGGTTTCTAAAAAAACTTGGTTCTCTTAACATGGTCACCTTTTATAACGATATCCTGCTATCCTAAAAATAATGTGGCACAATGAACAGAGGAAGAGGAATAAAGAAGCATGAAGTGGAAGATCTCTATCTTGCATAAAAAGGGTATTTCAAGACTAGCTTAACACGTCTATAGTCTATACTAATAAAATCTTAAGTAAGAAAGAAGTTTAAGTTCCCAGTTTATCACTGGTTATGTCGGAATAATCTTAAACGACCCAGAAAAACAAAAACAAACTCATATTAACAAAATGATGTTCTGCTGATTACCGCACTACCAGGTAGAAGAGGAAACTATAAAAGGGTTTGTGATCTAGTTTGTCTCGACTATAACAGCGGTGAGTGGTATTAGAGAAAGGGAACTTTTTAACAGTCACAATATCTCAATTCCCATTGTTGAGAACCCTCAGCAATACAGATTCGACGACTTGAAGTTGCAGTGTTTAGGGACATTGGCTCTACAGACTCTGTAGGAACACCACAAAAGGCCCTCTTGTCTTATTTCATGTGATCCAACTTATACTACCAAGCTGTCAACTAAAAAGGGGACTCGTTTCTGCAAAAAGAACCCACATTTTCAACAGGAAATCAAGGCACAAAAAAAATAAATTAATCTAGTTCAATCAAGTGCGCTGGCAGAATTTAACACAACTTTCAAATCTTCAACTAAAGGTCACTGAAACGGACAAAATGTTACAAGGTAAAACGGGATATGATCATCAGGGTCGAAGCAATAACTTAATTACAGGATAAAACGGGATATGGTCACCGACTGACAACTAAGTTTTATACAACACAATATCACGTGACTAATGATCTCATCGCCTCCCTCACATCTCACCTTGTTCATATCATTAGGAACTGTTAGGAACGTCACAATGTCCTAATTACGTAAAGGACACCCGCAAAGTTCCCCTAATAAGTCTACCATAATTCAAGAATGACGATAGCTAGATGTAGTAGCTACTGCTACTACTACTACTACGACAGCGTGTTTACCACATTTTGGCAGTGAGCCAACGGTGCTGAGATAAGTGATTATCTGAGAGGATCATGAGCTTGTGAGAGTCGGGGAGAGAGCTGACTGATTACTTGCTTTACGGAAATTAATTATGCAGGGCATTCTCTGTTCTTAGCATATTATGAACAATCACGAGCAATTTTCATAGTGTACTGTAAATCAGCTTCCCTCTAGTATTAAAGCTAACTGGGGCAGACTGGGGGTAGAAATACGCTCCTTCACAAAACACACGGTCACAAAAACGATACAGAGCGGCTGATAAATGATACAGTGCCAAGAAGAGCTGGAGTGAGAGAGAGAGAGAGAGAGAGAGAGAGAGAGAGAGAGAGAGAGAGAGAGAGAGAGAGAGAGAGAGAGAGAGAGAGAGAGAGAGAGAGAGAGAGAGAGAGAGAGAGAGAGAGAGAGAGAGAGAGAGAGAGAGAGAGAGAGAGAGAGAGAGTTGGGCGTGAGCACACAACAAGTCGTCAACACTGTACTCTGCACCTGTAAAAAGTCAGTACAACACGACGCTGTTGTCAGAGAGGGAGGAGGAGGAGGTAAGGGACAGAACAACACATGGCCGGAGGAGAGAAGCCACATATTATTTGTGGAGGTGTCGATTATTAATGATAGAGCTATGTGGGGTCCTGTCAGCACTTCCTCGTCACTAATTTTAACTCACTACCCCCAAATCAAGTTGCCGCTTCTAATTAATTCAGGAGTCCGAGGAATGACAAAATGAAAGTGTCTAACATTTATGTTAAGGTCCAATGGTGGGAGAGTTCTGAGGTAACTTCCCACACTATACCAGGAATGTTACATTACAAAGGAGTGTTTTGGATGTATCAGCTTTCAATGGATAATTGTAACGCGTAATTTTAGTTTAGTATGTAAAAAATATGTATGGATAATGATGAGTGATGATTCTGTACCATGAACTACGTCCCACTTATAGAATAACTAACGGCTAAGATAAGCGGTGCTCTCACTTACCTCGGGATCCAACTCTTGGATCTTCTCCTTCTCCATGCGCTTGCGCTCGTCACGGCGCTGTTGGGCTGCTTCCTGTCTCTGGTTGTGAGTCTGTTTCAAGTATTCTTCCTCTACCTAAAACAACAAAGACAACATTACAGGACAGATCAATATAAGTTAGAGCAAATGAACTAAAGTCTAACAAAACAGAGACAAAATCGTGCGTTGAGTAAGGCGTAGAGTACTTTGTCAATACTAGATTTGTGAGTGAACTTTAAATTATAAGGGATCACTTTGAGTCTGAACAAGTAAGAAATGACGCTATTAGGAGGAATGACGCTGTACTTGAGCGTGAATCCGAGGCTAAATAACAGAAAAGGGTCATAATCTGAGTACACCAGAACGTAAAGATCAAGCACTAGGCAGGTTGACTTTTTAACAAATCCTTGAATCTTTACCAGTAACGTAACGTAATGGATAAATTTAAAAAGTTGTTTCACCTGGACTCTGTGCTTGTCAGCTTTGTTCTTATTCTCTTTGCTGAGTTTAAACTTGTGTACTTTAATCATCATGTGAAGAGCCATTCTAAGTAGCGGTTCGGTTGTTTCCATAATAGTGCTCTTAGTTCGCTTTCCTGGCATGTCAGGTTGGTTACAAGTCTATTATTAGATAATATTATTGGATTATAACATGATTAGATTGTATTAGTCTGTTGTAAAAATAGACCAAAGTAACGAAATATCAGACTGGTTCTCAGTAAAAGTTATTGAATCCTCGTTGAAACAACAGACGACCCAGTAAAACAACTATAACAAGCCGATGATCTAATGAGTCCTGAAGCAAGACTAACTACATTGAGAATTACCATGCCCGGGGATGACGAAGTTGAATATTAATCTCTTGACAGGTGAAGGACGCTCCGTCTCGGTCTGAGATTCCTGGGATATCTTGAAACCAGTGTAGTAGTCCGAGAAGTGGATACTATCGAACACGTCGATGTTCTCAGCGATTGTCTTACAGACGGGAATGGAGAGGAACTCGTTGGAGACCTCGGAGAACTCAGCCAGGATTCCGAGCTGAGAGGGAAGGTCAAACTTGTCGGTTTTCTTTTCCGTGGCAAAGTGGGCCAGATCCTGAACCTCTTGTTGTAGCCGTTTGAGACCCTTGCGGGGCATGATAGCGAGTACAACATGGTCCATGTCCTCTGGAGCGAGATAGGTGGTGATAGTGATGGTGTCAGACTGGGGTTTGAAGATCTGGGACAGAACAGATATCAGATCTTGCCGTCTCAGTAATTTTATTTCTATCTTTATACCTTCACAACCCACCCGACCTGTGCACCACAGCACGAATCTGTTTTCAGATTCTTTAACAAGAACATCTTCAGATATCTCTTTAGAAACTCCGTCGTCACCCACTATACAGAACGCGTCAGACAACAGTTTCTTATGATGTTCAAACCACGCATTTGCCAGCCTGTTATTGATTGATTTGCCTGTATAGAAGTTCAGTGCATACACAAATACTCCTATAAGTCCGATTATTTCAAGGTAATAATCTTCCCAGTGTCCTTTCATATTGACTGGTGCATTGACGATGTTAAGTTCATTGTTGCCCGAGGGAGCCTTCTCGCTCGGGTTGATGCCCTCGAAGTCTTCGTCTTCGATAACTATTTGGTCATCTTCTGTGTCGTCGGGTTCTTGCACCTCAACTGTTTCTTCTGGTGAGTTTTCAACCTGAAATATAACAGGAAAAGTTTAAGTGCAGATAAAACAAATAAAAAGGTATCTGGACTAATATTTGTACTACAATTATTTGTCAGGGTTTTATTTGTATTGTTGTATACAAGATCAAACTTTGAGATAATAGCAATCTTGGAAGAATCTTGAAATAATAACACAGAAAACTCAATTTAAAATTATTTCACGTTCTCAGCACATAAATAAAAAAACACACAGTTCTTGCACGCGACCTAAACAACAAACCTCAATGTCGTAATCATCTGGTTCGATAACCACAGTTTCATCAGTGTCAAACTCAGCAAAAGGGTCTTCTGACTGGCCCAGGGCTAGAGCTAAAAACAAGGCGATCCAAACAAAGTCCCAGACTGACGACATGACTACCTGATCGAAGATGTGATTATTCTGCCTCTTGATTAGAATATAGGTACGAGTTTGATAACAGATAGAAATTATCTGGGTACATTATCCTTGTGGACACGAAATAAGTATTATGTGTGCATCAAAATCATTTGAAAGCAATAACATACAGTTACAAGATATTTCATAAGACATAGATTAACTAATATGAATAACTTCAACTAAAACTAAAGCAATGAAACAAATTCCTCTAAATCCTCAATAAAAGAGACACAGATAAAAATAATGAAATATCTTCAAAACGTAGAAAAATAGCGTAAAAGCTAAGATATAAACATAAATTATCAAAGAGTATTTTTGGAGTTATCTGCAATTACATGCTTTCAAAATCCATAAAACATATATCGATGAACATTTAAATTAAAACCTTTTGGTATTCAATAGGTTTATTGATTTCTTCATAATACAGCTTTAAGAATTCTCAGTCCCTCTTAATTATGCCATTTTGTTTGTGATGTTTATTGAAGAGACTTTGAATGCCCTTCATTCTTGTGTTAGCTAATTATGGAATATAGAATTTTTTCAAGATTCAAATAAGTTTTAATACTTTATTGCTGTAATCTGTAAAATTTGAAAAAGTATTTAATAAAAAACTTTTAAAAAGTATCTAATTTCTATCACATAAACATTGTCTGTCTCATGGTCTACCTGACACAGAGGCTAGTATTGAGTATGGTTCCTTAATTATGCAAATTATCTAAGTTATAATAACTTTTTTCTTTAATATCTCGAACTACATTATATTTATATATAGAGATTGACTGTACAATTATTTCTGATTTATATACAAAAATATAAATCTGAAAATTCAAAAAATTTATTTGAAACCAAAATTTATAAAAATAAATCCCAGCTCTTCGAGTGTCCACAAATTTACTTATCATCAAAACAAAGACGCCTTAGTTTTTGCTTGTAAATCGTCCTAATACCTGTCTGATATTCATCATGAAAAGGAATAAAAACGAACAAATTATCTTGACTGGTCACAACGGCCAAGACATCGTGATAATAATACTCAGGTTTCTCTAATTCTGGCATCATACCCAATGTGATTCGTCCCTTAAATGCAGCAATATAACTCCTTCCATCACTTTCATTGTCTTTAAATGTTGCATCAATTAGATCAGCATCAATTAGCTGTAGAAGATTAATCAGGTTTTCATCGACATATATGGGCTCCACCCCCAGCAGCACATCAAGTGAGTCCTCTGTCATCTGAAATTCTTCAAGGATCTTTTTAACATTAAATAGATCAGGTTGCCTTGCAATAGAGTTGAGAACTCCTAAATAATTAATGGGATGGGTCATGTCAACTAGAATAGATATAGCTCCACATCTTACATATCGATCACCAGATATTTTAGTTAGTATCATGTGATTTGAGTCATATGTCAGTGATAGAATTTCACTTCCATGAACAGCATAATCTCCAGCGAAGAACCCAGGTGCAATAACACGTTCTTCTGCAAGGGATTGAGGCATTTTGATACTAGTAAACATGATACCACCATCGCTAAACCCAGAGAACATGGCATGCAAAACTTCGTCACTGTTCATGCCCAGTGCGGACGAAAAATCATGCCTCATTGTTTCCATATCGTGATCTTTGGCAAACTCATCTATTTTGGCAAAATCATCTGAGCAACAACACATTCTCATTTTCATTCCATATTCACATTCCATTTCATTTTCCAAAGATATAGAAACACAGTGCTCCGTGGTAGAATACAGAGCACAGCAAATTCCATCTTTGTCAAGGTAATCAATGCCAACATTACGGTGTATACCTGCCTCATTTTCATCAATGTTTATGACAAAGATAGGAACTAAACTTGTCTGGAATTCTGTAGCTTTAGGAGCCTGTATGATGTAGCCTACAATTTTACATGGCGACATTTTCATCTGAACATGCAACAATCCACCAAATGCTGGGATCAGACTTTTCCAAAAGCCGATGAGCCAATCCCATTTTTTGAAGGCATTTATGTACAGTGATCTAAGCTGTACCCATTCCATTGTCATGAGAGATTCCATGGGAAAATTATAGCTGATTGGATCTATAAAAAGTTTGTATTGCCTCAAAACGTTTACCCATGATGTTTGACAGTTGCATAGACTGTTCAATTTCTGATTTGTTACACTGAGTTCTATGAGATCATCACCACAAAGATAAGACAGTACCTTAACAAGCAGTTCATCAGGTAGGAGTGAAATTGCCATTTCACAGGCATTAGTGTAGAAATAAAGTCCTCTGTTAAGTGTAAGGGGCCATCTTTGAGCTTGGATAGTATAGTAGTGTGCAACTTTGCCGAACTTAGTGACCTAAGAGTTCTAAAAAAATTATACAAGGCAATGAAGTAATGAAGAAATATTATTATTTCTTAAACTTTTGAAAGCTAACATAACAGTTTTACTATAGATATGATAATTGTGATGATAATGACAAGTTAAACCAAAATTTCATCAACAATTAGAATTGAAAGGCCTGATGTAATTGCTATGACCAATTTACTGGTCAACTGGTGTTTCGTTGTCCCCAATCTTGTTTACACTCGGTCACTTGTCAAGGCATGTAAGGTCATTCAGCGAATTTTCTTTGAAATAAAATGATGTATTTGTGTAACATTTTGAAAGTTTATTGATGAAAAAATAGCATTTTTAAAAATCTACATGTATGTTTTTACAAAATAAAACTGTAAACAAACTAAATTCACAATTTTCAAATCTAATTAGAACTCAGTCTAAACCCTTTAAAGATGATGATAGCTGCTAATTACAGCTCTCAGAACAATATATTGTGACAAATAAAATTATGATCTGCAAAACAAAATTAAGACAGCCTTTTCAAACATAAACCAAGTTCTGGTAGGAGTGAAATATAACTGAGGTAGATAATGATTGACAAGAATTCCAATTAATCACAATTTCGAGACTAGAGAAGCTATAGAGAACACTCCAAATAAATATCAGCTTTTAAAGAAAAAAATTAAATTTAAAGAAATATTAGAAATTTGATAATACCTAATTAAAAGCAAAGACGTCTTTAAGGTTTTTTTATAAGTGTGGTGAAAATGACTTTAATAAAACAAAAGTTAATAAAGATGCCTTCAATCTTAACTCCCCCTGTAAGGAAAATCCATTAGTTAGTTAATATGTCATAATATAGTACCAAGGCAGTGCCAGTTTTCAGCATTTTGGACCGCAATCGTAGGGGCATGTAGTTGGTTCAGATAACTCTCACCCTGACGACGGCGTCAAGAAATTATCAAATTATGCATTTGCGCCATACTGGACACATTTTATATTTAATATTCTGTGGTTTGTAGAAATTACCAAATCCATTCAATCCTCTCTGTGAACGAACAATTTACAGCTTACTATAAGAGCCCAGATTTCCACTCAAATACTGGCTATTCCATAATGCTATAGGACCTCAAAATAAGATCGTGCTCTACAAATTCGATCTATTCAAAGAAAAATAGTATTATAAAACATTTGGTCATTGTAAAGTTTGCTTTGCCCATTTTGCTAACTTTTTGATTTAAATTTTTGAGCAGGTTGATAAAGAGCAATTTAATCCTTTCTGATATCATTTTCATCTGAAGATTCCGAATTTTCTGAATTCTTTGGAATGAAGTTTCTATCTCATGTGGAGCAAAAGTTATGACCTGCTTTTCGATGTGGAGCAAAAAAGTGTGGAGCTCCCCAATAAAATCTATGCTTTTTGACTATTTTGATCGCCATTTAACAAATAGATCCTGGACGTTAATTGCAAAATATTTTCACTGCCAAATCATAAAATGGACCTCAGCCAGTGTGGAGCAGTCGAAATATCCTCATATTTTTCGTCTCAACCAGGGGTAAACATTACAGTAGAATCTCCGTCTTTTCACAAAATCTTAGTTTGAAGGAATACGCACCAGATAACATTATCAATAATGGTACACCTTGCTCAACCGATGCAGAGCAGCGAAACTATTATACCCTAGTTGGGAATACTGATTGGGAAGAAACTGAGTTTTGAAAGTGAGTGTGATTAAAAACGATAAATACATCTAATCAGGCCATAAAAATATCATTTTTTCTTGTGATTATGTTCAGACCCCCTGACTCTATTCTTTGGAACTGCTGATAAACCTAGTAATGCTCAACCATGTGGAGCAGAGGACTTTTACTGCATAACATGGCTCCTCATCGGCTGATATGACTTGGATGAGAAATTAGAATGAGTATTTTAGCTTTTACAATAAATTACTACGGGTATCGGCCTTACAAAATGACAGGCCTCACAAAATGACATGCCACATAGACCATGCTGTAGCTTAGGTTCCCTATACATTGAACCCTATTCCTTTTACTGTATGAAAGAAAAAGCATTAATTAACACTTCCTAAGGAATGATAATGACATAGAATCTATATTTCTTACATAAATATGGACGTTTTTGCTGTTCAGTCATTGCCCCGTCAAACTGTTACCCAGCATGGAGACCAAAGTTTAGAATTTAACCCCAGAAAACCAGGTACTACCATGACTTATGTCAATCAAAGACTACTCTGGTCAAATAAAAAAACTGATTTAGTGACTTTGGTAGAAGAAATGACAAAAAAATGACCTAGCCTCACAAAATGACAGTGTTATGCCTCACAAAATGACAGTTTTATTTTATGATACAAAGATGGCATATTTATATTGGATGCCCCTTGCCTAATTATTGGTATTCTTAAACCCAGTAAGCTTATGATGAGCCTAAATGTGTTTGTTTGATCATCAATTTTGAACAAAATGCCTCACAAAATGACACCGAAAAGCCTTACAAAATGACAATGTCTACACAGAACTAGGAGAAATACAAATTAATCAGCTTCCAAGTTTCTGTGACCTCTTACCTAAATCGAATACAGCTAATATATATCTACATGACTGCTCACCTGAAGAGGTGGCTAAGATCATATCGGAA